TGGCACGGGCTTGTACAGATTTTGGACGTTGTTCCAGGTTCAGGATGGTTTTGGGCATAGTGTTGGTCTCAATCCATGTGTCTTAGAGATGACTGAATATGGGGTTGGCTGATAGCCCTTTGATGATGAAGTCGATGGTGACATATTCATCTTCGTGTATCTGAGGGTACTTCGCAAGTCGCATGCGTGTGCGTAGATTGCGGTGAAGTTTGAGAAATGTCTCAATATCGTCGGTGACATGGAGTTTTGTGCGGAGGGCTTCCTGTTTGAGGATGAGGTGAGATGCGGGTGTTGAGTCTGTGAAGTGTTGGGTGATCGCATCGATCAGAGAGGCTGGTGAGGTGTCTGCTTGCATCTCGATTGTGCATGCGACGTCTTCAGAGAGGCTTGATAATATTGACATTCTGATGTATGCACAGTGTCGCCTGTGCCTTCCGTGTTCGGGGGTATGTGGAGGTGGGATAGGGGTCGAGTTGTCAAGGATGGAGTCCATGTCATTTAGGGTAGCGAGGTCTTGGATGGCTTGGCGCCAGAGCTGATAGTTGTTACCAGTTGGGAGGAGGTCGGGGAGCCTGCCTCGTGGGGTCTTGGTATGGTAGGTTAGTGGGGTATCAGGCGGGTTCATGATGTGTGCGTCTGTGTGGGGCTCTACGCGGGTCTGCGGAGCTGGGGGTGGCTCGACTCGGGATGGAGGAGCTTGCGGTGGTGGAGCTGGGTGGGGTTCGTGCTCAACACCAGGCCAGGATGGGTTTGAAGGCGGGCTCTCTACGCTAGCTTGCGGAGGCTCTGTAGGGTCTGGTGAGTGGTACTCGAGGGGCGAGGGGAGGGGGGGTTGATTGTTGCGCAGCGCTGGGGTGTTCGGGTCCATAACCTGAAGTGCGGTGAATGATGGACCAGTTTATTGGGACTTGGGATCGTCCGTCTCCTTAAGACGTGACGCCGCCGCCGGTAGGGCTGCGTGCGGGCCACGTGTGGGACGTGTGTGATGTGTACCTGTACAGTGTCTATGGCTATCATTACAAACATGTACAGTACGACGTTGTGCCGTCGAGAACACATGAAGAGTTGGGGTGATTGCGACTGTTCCCTCAGGACATCCTTCTCTTCCGTTCTCCTGATTATCTGTGGGCTTCCGTTAGGCGTACGGATATACTGCACAGTGATGCGTTCTCTCCTTATCGGGCGGCCCTCGAGGAGGCCAAACAAAACAAAGTTCACATGCCGATCGATACCTCTTCTGCCTACACGTTATGTCTGTGTTAACCTTATTTGATCAAGGTCGCTGCAACATTCGTTTTTCAGAGTTATTTTTGGGGGGGTCCCCTTGCCCTTTGTACCGTTAAGTTTCGTTAGAGCATCTCTACGGCATGACCGTATTTGCCTCTCTAATCAAAAATATCTCGCCAAGTGCTTAATTTTTATTGGGTAACTCTATTGCTCTATTGATGAATAGATTTTCTGGAATAGAGCCGCGGCGCAACTCTACCGCGCAGTACATATCCTTTCAGCACCGCTGCACTCATCCTGTTCAACCCTTTTTATTACCATGGCAACTTCTCGCAACTACGACTGCCCTCCACCGACTTTTTCTCCTGACTCCAGTGACGACGAGAACCTGTCCTACCTCGTCGCCTCTGGGACACTGCCTGGTTTTCCAGGTACAATTCCTTCTCTCATTAGACTAGGATCAAGGAGCGGGAAAAGAGGAAATCTCAACCGCGACTTCGATGCCGCACTCAACCGCCTCAAGCGAGACTACTTTTCAACCACGCCACTTTATTGCGATGCGTCATTTGAAAGGCGTTTTAGAATGCCACGCACAGTGTTCAACAGGCTGTACAGGGCGATTGAGGGCGAAGGATTGTTTGTCAGAAGGAAGGATGCGCTGAGCCGTGGAGGAATGCATCCCCTACAGCGGATGGTTGCCGCAATTCGCATGCTGGCGTATGGAGCAGCGGCTGACTCTTTAGACGAATATCTGAGTATGTCTGAAGACTCAGTGTTGCAGTTACTGAAGTCCTTTTTGTTCTACTGTGATACAGAAGTTTGGAATATAGTACCTACGCGAGCCCAATGAGGCGGACCTACGGCGCATACTGGCAATAAATGCTGCCAGGGGGTTTCCGGGGTGTGCGGGTAGTATTGATTGTTAGCATTGGCAATGGAAAAATTGTCCGATAGCTTGGGCTGGACAATTCGAGGGAAAGGAGAGGAAGCTGAATATCGTTCTAGAGGCAATTTTTGACGGGGAGTTGTGGATTTGGCATGCCTTCTTTGGTAGCCCTGGAAGCTTGAACGACATCAACGTTTTGGACCGATCACCAACGATGGAGCGCATCATCGCTGATGAGTTTCCGCCCTCCATTCCTTACACGTTAAATAAAAAACAACGAACGATGCCCTACTACCTTGGCGATGGTATCTACCCAAGCTGGGCAATTTTTATGAAGACAATAAAAGACAACACGGCAAAAAAGGAGGAAGCATTCGCAAAGGCTAAAGAGGCGATACGGAAGGACATCGAACGAGCGTTTAGGGTGCTTGTCGCTCGGTTTCATATCCTACAGAACCCTTCAAGACTTTGGAAGGGAAGTGATGTATCGAATGTCATGGTGGCGTGCATTATTCTCCACAATATGATTGTGGAGAGTCGAAGAGATAACTACCAAAGTGGCATGGCGTCACTGCAGCACTTCAGTGAGGCGCTTGCTATGTTCGCTGCCGGTCAGTCATTCACGTGGGAATTCGAGTCGGCAACTCGGTACCTTCTTGGCAGTGAGTTGCCGACGGGAATGGCTAGCATTGTATCGTCACGTCATTCGCGCATAACAAGTAAAGTGGACCACTTCTCCTTGAAACGCGACCTCATTGAGCATATATGGAACGCTCACGGCTCCGTCTAGGGCCGATGAGGTGTTTGCGCATCAATAAAGCTCTTGTCTTTACCAATCTGCTGTGTGCATATGTGTGAAAGCATCGGGGTCCGGGGGGCACTCCCGGCGTGTGAACAGCCACATACTCATCCCTTCCACCCTCCTCGGCATTCCCCCCACCCCTGTGTACTCAATTCCCGCCCAATGGCCTCATCGAGTCCTGTCCATCATTCTTCCGCCCCTCCTCCACCTTTCCACCCCTGGGGCCCGACCCCGCCTGCCCCTCAACACCCACACGTCGTTCACGACATATATACCGCCTCCATTGAGGGCTCACGTCTCGCCTCCGCTCACAACACATGTCTCGTCGTCGTTCACAGCTCACGCCTCGTTTGTGGTCTAGCCTCGCATCTCGCCTCTGTTCGTCCCTCTCAAAGGTGACGACAAAACAGTTTTATGCCACCTCTACGACGCGATCGGGGTAAAAGCGTGTAAAAAATCGCGGACGGCATCGCGATGCAGCTCATCACCCCTGTACGCGCCCTCGACGGACAAGGCGGGGTGCTCCCTCAGATGGCCATCGGAGGGATGAAAGTCGGCGTCCCGATGCGACTCGTGGCGCTCAAAGCGCGGGCGCTTCCTCCCCGTGCGCGGCGGGTGGGGCTCCCCCTCACAATGTTGGTCACGCGAGAGCGGGGGCGGCGGCGCGGGCGGGGGCGGGGACGGGGACGGGGTGCGGCGGGGTGGATGCGGCGAAGGAGACGAAGGCAAAAGCGGAGCAGGGTTGGTCTTTTTCGGCGGGGCGTGCTCTGGTGGGGGCTCCTTAGCGGTGTCGAGGAAGCCTCGCTTTCCAGTTTTCAAAATATTGTTGTGCATGCAAGCTGCAACCACTGCACCAACCATCGGTCCGACCCAGTACAAAGAATGCTCGGCCTAATGGCCTTCAAGTGCGGCAAGGGCAAATGACATGGCATGGTTCACGCCACCTCCTGTCCATTGTACTGCCACGTCAATAAGGGCGACAACGAGCATGGTCATGAGGGACCACTTCTTAAAAGTCGCCTTTTCATGAAAGATATGTTTTAGGGAAAGCGCGACGACACACAGCAAAGCAGTGATGAAAGCCTCAATGACGACTGCTTTTGAATAGGAGATACTGTATGTATGTGTGGTTGCGGGGGATGAAAGGTATCATCTTTATCTTTATGATGTATATTCGCACAGATACGGACGACATATTGGATGCGATATGTACCAGGTGTGGCATAACGGCGGTTCGCGATTAGATTTAGATCAGATCAATACGAACCACACCGGCGCACACGTGTACCCCCACGTGTACGGAGGACGCGGGACCACACGCGTACACGTGTAGGAGGCGCGTACCACCGCGCGTACAGTACGCGTCTCACACGTGTGCTGTCAGCCCCGACGGCTGACAGCATTACAGCGCGGGACGACCCGCGCTACAGTAAGTTACTACAGCATACCAGTACTGTAGTATTATGATAGACGCATTGTATACATTAAATACGAGCGCGACCGGCGGCGGGGTAGGTGGACAAGCACGGACTTGTCCACGACCTACCGCCTAGGTCCGTCTTCTAGCTTAACTGACGAGCGCGATCCGCCTTCGCGCGCGTTAACCGGGACAAAGCGGGTAGGGGACAGCCGCGTACGCGAGCGAGCCTAGATCCGCCTCCGCCCGTCAGCGCTGGTACGTTACCCAGCGCTGCTCCGGGGCGTGGAGGCGTAGATCGGCCCGCGCGTACGCTCGTCCCCGACCGTCCCGCTGTACCACGCTACCAGGGCTCGCTTCCCTGTCCCGTGAGCTGTGTGTTCTCCCCGTCTTCTCGCCCCTCGTACGGGTCTACATCGAGCTAAGTATACACCCCTCTCCGTTGGGGGGTGTTATACTACAGTGGTCTCCCGACCTAGAAGACCACGCGATTATCGCGAGAAGAATATCGTTCGGATCCGCGTCCGCGCGCATCGAAATGGAAGAAGGAACCGCGAACTCGATTCAGACGGAACCGGCGAATATGGAGTCAACCGCGCGCCGCGCCTCCGAGTCAGGCGCGCTGCGCGCCCCCTTCGGCGGCGCCGCCGCAGGTCGTACCGACGGCGAACCGTCGCCTGGGTTTTCAGAGGGACGCGCTCGCGCAATGTATGACAGGATCGCGGAATACATCGAGGACGTCCGGACCTCGCTTCGAATTGACGTCTCGGACGCGGTATATACGCGCTGTATGGAAGAGCTACGCTCGCTTCGCGAAGGAAGGTTTGACCGCGTCTCCCAATCCTTGGAGAACCTCCGAGCGCTAGTCGACCAGCTACAGAGTCGGCTAGCGCTCGTCGAGGATTCGCGTCTCGATTCCCCTGTCGAGGACAGGGAAGGCCGCCCTGAGAGGTCGGCCTCATCAAGACGACCCGACGCACAACCCTTCCCGTCGGCGGAGCAAATACACGCGTTTGCCCATATGGCCGCGGAACTCAACTCGACGCGGAGACGCGCTCGCGAGGTGGAACAGACCCCGACCAACAGGTCGCCCGGGGCTCCTGCGAGGGGGCCCGGTGCCACTGTTCCCCCGATCGCGTCAGACGCACCGGAGTTCCAACCGACGGGTGCCGGATCCAGTCGGTACGCGGATGGCCCAAGACCACCAAGGGACGCGAATGTCGCGTCCGAAACCCAAGCCCTCCCGTATGTCGCCGGAGACATACGGGGGATGAGACGCGTACCGTACGCGGACGACCAGGACCGTGGAGGAGCCGCCCGCGGATCAAGAGAACCGATTCTCTCTTTCGATCCTCGCTAGGGCGGCTACCAGCCGGTGGACCTCACCGCGCATCCCGGTCCGGTCGATATCCGAACGCTGCCCGTCACCCCTTTCGGGACGCTGGGACCCGCGGCACCCGGGGTTGAGCCCGTCCATACCATGATACAGGAGTTCAGCGATGTCGCGAACTACCGCATGTATCGGTTGGACAATACGTCGAGGCTCGTTACCTCGGGAGACGCGGGACGAATCGCGAAGTACGTCCAGCGCTGTCGTGGGATTCGACCCACGATGCGCAGCTTCGACGGCACTGACGCGATTCAGTTACTACCGTTCTTGAAGGATATACGTATCACCTTCAACGCGCAACACCTAACCGAAGGTGTTGCCGTCCGCGTCTTCGCGCATTTTCTTGAACGCGACGCGGAAAGATCGTATACGAGTTACACCATGCGCGGACTACGCGCTAGCCAGCTTCACGACGACGTAAGCTGGCCTGGCCTCGTCAACCAGTTCATCAAACGCTACCTCACGGAAGACGTGTTAGGTGAAGCGTATGATACAGTCGCGACCGCGCGACAGCAACCCCACGAGACGGAGAACGCGTACGCGGATCGATTGGAGTCCGCCGCGTTCCGATGCCCCGCGGTGTTCACCGAACAAGCACTCGCGCATTATTTCGTGCGCAGACTAGCCCCGGCGACCCGAGCCGCCGTGGCTGAAACGGTGCAACGACTGCCCGGATCGCAGAAGACAGACCTCTCAAGCATCCGCCGTATAGCGACGGCGGAAGGTACTACCTTCCGCGCGCGTCGCGGCCTACCCCTGCCGGATCCGAAACCGGCAGGGAGAGCGGGTCGATCATCGAGGTCGAACGCGACAAGTTCACCCGCGACAGCCCTCCATATTGGAGAAGATGAGTGGCAGGCCGACCCTGTTCTCATCGCGCGAGGCATGGAGCAAGGGGGAGGTCGACCTCCCACATCGGCGTCAACGCGGTCGACCGGAAGCTTCGCCACCGCGTTCGCGCATACTCCGCGCCTGCCAAGTGGTACGGACCACAAGGTGCAGGAGCTGGACATTTCGCGTCAAGGAGGGGATCGCATACCGGCAAGCGTCCCCAAGTTAACCGAAGAGGAGACGCGTCACGCGGCATCTTTTGCATCCACAGATGGTAGCGCGTACGTCTGTTGGCTATGCCGTACGTACGGGCATGCCATGTACGCGTGTCCATTCCTGGCGCCCGAGCAACGGATGTTCACCGCGTACAGGAATTACAAGTACCAGATGGAGACGCGTCCTGGGATGCGCAACCTCCTCCAGCAATCGGTTCGCGAGGACCGATTTCCGCGTCAAGGGTACACGAGTCGAGCGGGTGCGGGCGCCCGCTTCCCGCCCCGCGGTGGCGGGTACCGTCGTAACGAACTCGACCAACGCGGGAGACGCGACTTCCGCCAGGCGGACACGCGATATCCGCGTCAAGACGGAAGGGGAGACCGGGACCGTTCCCGACTCCCGCCGGGGGTACAGAACGCGATAATGTACCTCCAGGACTGGGCAGAGGATACGCATGCCCTGCCCAGGGCGGAACGCGAAGGAGATCCGGCACCCGCGGCCCCGCAAATTCTGCAACATCCAGACGTGGTGAATCAAGGCCTCGAAGTGTCCGAATACTTCGACGAAGCCGCGAGACCAAGATGGACCACGCCCGCGCCCCCACTCGTCGAGGGACGCGGAGGCGTGCCAGCTATCGGTAGCGACGCGCTTAGCTCCGATAGCTCCGGTAGCTCAAAAAACGCGTAAAGACGGTTACGTTCGCGCGGTCGCGTGAGCCGTCTTGTCCATATCCCATCGACCCGTCACCGCGAGCCCGACAAAGGCACGGGGGATATTTACCGATAATATCCCCCACTCCCCCACGCGAAGACGCCGAATCCCGCGTGATTCCGGCGCAGGAAATAAGGGACGTCGTGGCTTCCGTATGCCCGACGCCCGAGAAGAAACCCCCGGAGCCCCCCGTAGGCTCTAAGCTGCGGGAGGACCGCGAACCGCCCAAGGACGCGACTTGTCGTGCGGACGTCAACGAACAACAGACGTCCCGCGACCAAGGAAGAAGGGCGCGTAAACGCGGAAAGAGCCGTCGCCGACGCCCCAGGCGAAACGACGTCGCGAATCGGACCGCGCGGAAGGTTGTCGACGGCGTCATCTGCTTGATGACGTCGAAGATATATAATGTCCTCGGCTCGATCG